TACAATAAAACCATGGTGGGAGTTGAATTCAAGCCAAAACGGGCTCTATGACTATCCTTTTACATAAGGATTGATTTTCATTCTGTCAGCTTCATCCACAATTTTATCCAAACATGCATTGAATAGTTCATGTGATAAACCTTACTTCAATCTGGATCATCCAACAGATCAAAGGAGCTTCAAAGATATTCTTTTACTTCAAAGACAGCTTTAGAGTGGAATAAGTTTTCAAGTTCATATTGTTAAACAAACATTTTTTTTAAATATTGTTAAACAAACATTTTTTATTATTTTTATTTTATTTATTTATTTTTTTTAATATTTTTAAACTAGCATCGCCATGTTTCTTCAACCATTTAGAATTTTCTTTTATTGACATTATTGTTATTATTATTATTTTTTTTTTCAGGTTGTTAATCCTAAGAAGACATATGGGCATGCAGCTGATATATGGAGTTTGGGTTGCACTGTTTTAGAGATGTTGACTCGTCAGATTCCTTATCCTCAAGTGGAGTGGGTTAGTAATCTCAAATTTAAAAGCCTTCAGTTGGATTTTTTTCTTCTTTTACCTTAGTACCTGATTGTGAGTGACGTTCTATTTATTATATCCTACCAAAAGATGCTTGTAATCACCACATATATTTCTTAAACCCAATTTATATAAAATATTACAATTTCTCAAAGGCAACATAATAGCTATTCTGGGAAACAGAAAAATCAGTTTCAAATAATTGAAAAACATTTTTGAATTAGGAAGGAATTTTTTTTGATAGCTAGGATGCTTAGTCCCTTTCTTTTATTACTAAGAAAATTTGTCGAGATATCAGCTTGCCTTGTTTAGCAGAATGCGACATAACATCCTGGAATTTGATTAACCATATATAGGAATAATAATGAGCTTATTCTTACGAGTAACATGAAATTCTAAGTTTAAGCCAACAGATTTGGAGAAATAATAAAAAGAAACTAAGCAAAGGAGAAATGTTTAGTACTGCCTGTTTTAAAAAAATTATTAGTCCTTTATGTTTAGATAGAAAGACTGGCAGCCTTTATCAACTAAATGGCTGAAAAACTTTTTATAGGTATGTCTTAAGATGGGTTGGGAAAAAAGGTATGAAAATATTTTCAAGCATAAATCCATGTCGAGAGCAAGTGACAATGGGAAATGAGTGGTAACTTGTATTGTTCATACTCAAATGATGCCTAAGAAATATCTGGAATTCTTAGAAAATAAAAGAAGAAACTCTAAATAGTACTTCGGCAGCATCCCTGAATTATTGTGATTATTATTTATGTTTTTGAAGACATTTATGTACTGTGTTCATATGGTTAAGAAATTAAGGTTTCGTTTGGGACGGCTTTTTTATTCCTTCTTAAAGCAATTTTTTAGTTCAAAAATTAAAATTTTGAATTAGAAAGCTGCTTTAAGAAGCAATAAAAAAGTCATCCCAAACGAAGCCTTCGTTTGGGACGGCTTTTTTAGTGCTTCTTAAAGCTGCTTTCTAGTAAAAAATTAAAATTTTTATACAAAAAATCGTTTTAAAAAGCAGTAAAAAAATCGTCTCAAACGAATCCTAAACCTCTTAAATATATGAGACTGGTTGATCTATTATTAATTAATAATACCTCATTTGCAGCAACATGCTTTCTACAAGATAGGTCGTGGTGATCAGCCTCCTATCCCTGGCCACCTATCAAAGGAGGCACAAGATTTCATAAGGCAGTGCGTTCAGGTGGATCCAAACTCTAGCCGTCCCAAACAAAGCCTAAACCTCTTAAATATATGAGACTAGTTTATCTATTATTAATTAATAATACCTCATTTGCAGCAACATGCTTTCTACAAGATAGGTCGTGGTGATCAGCCTCCTATCCCTGGCCACCTATCAAAGGAGGCACAAGATTTCATAAGGCAGTGCGTTCAGGTGGATCCAAACTCTAGGCCCACTGCTGCCCAGCTATTAGAGCATCCCTTCGTACGGAGACCCATAAAGATCTAGAACAATAATTTATTCTCTTCAGGTAAATAATGCATGCATCCGTCATCATTATTATCTTTTAGGAAATTATTTATATATATATATATATATATATCAAACTAATAACGAGCTAAATTCGAATGAACAAGAGTCTGTTTATGTTTGGGTCGTTAAGAAAACCTACCAAACAAGTCTAAATAGTAAATATTAGCTTGTTTGCAAACAACCAGCTTTTTTGACAGTCTTGTTGCATGATATGCTATGCTAAATTTTGCAGAAATCCTTTTGCTGGATCTCTAAGGCTCACTTAATTATTTGAATTAAGAAAACATGTTTTTGAGAGATGGTAAATTTATTTGATTCCGTTATAAATTAGCATTCGGTTTTAAATTTCTAAGACATTTTCAGCATCCTTCAAAAGTTATGCTTTCATTTTCACTCATTCAACAACAACAACAACAACAACAACATCAAGCCTTTATCTCACTACGTGAGGCTAAATCCTTTTTCGCCTGAAGGATTCATTTATGATTATTCGACAAGTTTTATGCTGGCTATCGACTACCTAACGCAACCCCTCCATTTTTCTCATTCAGGACTTGAGACCTAGCAACAACAGTGTTTCATTTTCACTCATTAAAACGAGTAAAAAAAAAGTTAAATTATCATTTTATAAACTATATTTTCTGCCTGAAAACAACCAAATGAGCCTAATCATATGCATATAATATAATTGCAAATAGGCTAGTGTCCATCCTTCATGATCCCCCTTTTCTTAATAATTGATTTTTTTTTTCCTTCATGTTCCAACATATTTCTTCATTCTTCTTATTCTCATTGCAACACTGATCCATATGAGTTTACAGCACTTGGCTCCAGCAGATAACACTCCTGGAATCTGTGTTCCTTAATAGTTCACATCCAGCACACTGTGGAACTCATCTCTGGATTTCATTGCCCAATCTTCAGAATCTGTTCTGCCACTAGAAGCATCTCGAAGCTTCAGGAATTATGTTTTTGTGCGATCATCAACCAAAATAGAATTTTTCTGAATGTACTGAGTGATGTGAGCACTGTATATATGTGATTGAATTCGACAAGTTTCTAATTTATTTTCAAAGAAAACTGAGAGATCCAGTAATGAAATTGTTGTTTTATATGGGATTTTATGTTTTTGAGGGATGCAGATTATTAAAATTTATTAAATCCTGCATAGTTTCTGTTCTTCTGATTGTTGTTGTTGTTGTTTTGTTTCTTTTTTAATAACAACAACAACAACAACAACAACATCAAGCCTTTATCCCACTACGTGGGGTCGGCTACATGAATCCTTTTTCTCCATTGTGTTCTATTAAAAGTCAAAAATATTTTACACAAAATATAATAAATTGTATGCTGAGTAGTGGGCTGTGGGTAATTATCTGAAAAAACTCTAATTCTATAACTTATGCTATGTTAGGTTGCCCTAATTAGAAACTAATTATAAAGAGTTTTTAATTTTTTTAAATTATTTTGAAATTAGTGTAATATAAAAATTAATTGATTATTCATATTGAAATACATTAAAAAATATTAAAATTTATTGTAATCAAATCTTGATAAAGAAATTATGACATAGTTTTATATTATTGTGAAAATGGGGATTTCTTCACATGATAAAAAATCACATTGCTCATAAGATGAAGAAATGGAACTTTAATGACAACATACCCCCCCAACATTGCCAAATTTATTATTTTAAATTTCTATAAAAATTTATTTTTACAATCACATCCATTAATATACAATACTATTACGAAAATTGTAAAATAAATTTTTTTTTCTAATAATCACAAAAACATTCAAAATTTTAATTTTTTCATAATAATTTCACAATCACCCCCAATAAACCCTGCTACATGCAGTTGAACTATACTAATCGATAAACCTATTACATTTGTCATTTATGTTTAAGCACTTTAATTTAATTTAGGCTTTGTTTGGGATGGTTTTTTTACTGCTTCTTAAAACAACTTTTTAATACAAAAATTTTAATTTTTGTACTGGAAAGCTGCTTTAAGAAGCAGTAAAAAAGCCGTCCCAAACGAAGCCTTAATTGAGCCATGGCTCTCACAATTCTTAGAGGGGGAAAAAAAAGAAAGAAAATTGTAATATTTATACATAAGATAGATTCCAAAGTCAAGATTATAAAATAATTCAACACTGATCTAACAATTAAACCAGAAATTGACAGAAAAGTATGGAAGGAATATAAAAGAATTTTCCAATGACTGTGAACAATAAACAGCAGCATCAAAAGAAGGGAACAGATATAATCATAATAACTAAAAATTGAAAGAGATTTCTCTAATAAAAATGATTTCAATACTGTGCAATTTTCTGATACTGAGCCTGTCATCTAACTTTTCTGTTACTCCAATCCAATGCAGAAAAAAACAAAAGAAAAATAATCATAAAAAAATACTGTAAGAAAGCACCCTAGGTTCAGCGATGAAGAAGGGTTCCAGGGGCATAAAAAACTGCATCTTATTTTTGCAATTTTTTTCACATTCTTTTCTAAAGAGGGGAAAACCCTTTTTAACTCCCTCTGTTTCAGGACAATGCAGCTTTCTAGTACTTCACTTGGACTTTGGCCACTTTCCAAACACTGGAAATATAGGAGAAAATTGCCAGGCCACAAAACTAGAGAGACTCCGCCATGAAAGCTATGGTAGGTTTAGCAAAATCAAGCTTCCACTTTGTTTTGAGATGATGAGCACAGCTTTGAGACGACCGCCGACTACAACTTCAGATTTGAAGCAGGCTTCCGCGTTTTATGCTGCAATACATGAAACAAGTTTAGAAGCAGAGGAAAATCAGAAAGAAAAGACTCAGGCTTCATTTGAGATGACTTTCTTACTGCTTCTTAAATCAGTTTTTTAGTACAAAAATTTAAAATTTTATACTAAAAAACTACTCTAAGAAGCAATAAAAAAGCCGTCCCAAACAAAATCTCAATCAAACCATAGGAGGGGAATACCTCAGAAAGAAAAGACTCGATCTCCTCCCGTGTTAAAGCTTCTTCCCCTGCATTTTCTTCCCACCCTAGTGATCGAAGAAAGGCTGCTTCTTCCTCATCCGGAGCCAACTTCTCAGGCTCCTCAAAAGCACCACCTCCAGCTGAACAATTCCCATTTTCGACCGAACAGTGCGAATTTGAGTTAAATGAAGATGCCGCCATGACCGAGGTAGAATCAACAGAAATCTTGTCCAAGTTGGACGAAGAGACATTGCAACTTTGATCATCGTTAGGATTAGCCGCCGGTTGGATAGCGGGTGATTTATTCCTAAGAGAATTGAAGAAATCATTCCTCTTTTGAGCCTGAGTTGTAATTTTCTTTTCTCCATAAGATCTTATAGTCAAAGCACCACCCTGACCATCCACTTTGAGTTTAGGGTTCATTGGGCCTTTAAAAGATTGAACTGTGGTAGGAGGAATGCCACCAGAACTGCTTGGAGCTCTGCTGATATTTGTTGAGTTTGGACCATCCTTGGCAGTAGGAGAGTAGCCATTCCTTTCTCTATTCAGGACTTGAAATTGCCCAGAGTTGGATGTCTTAGAAACATCAGATCTAAAAGTGGTATGAATGAGAAGATTGGATGAGGACTGCTGCTTGGAAGAACTGAATTCGGCAATCCTTGCCCCTTTTGTCTTTGATTTGTCAGCTGAGTTAGGACCCTGAGAAAATTATGTTAAATAAGAAACTTTGGGACCTATTTGAGCATATGTAATTTCGTTTCTGGAAATGATCAAACATACTCTGAAGGAATGTAGCAAAAAACATGAAGACATGGTTCGGCTACTGGTCGTTTAGTCTCTTGAGGTTCTAAAACCCGTTTTGAAAAATAGTAAATTTGTTAGAACTATCATTTGGTTAGATGTTGGAAATCAACACTGATTTTAAATTCCATAAACACCCTCAAAACCCCATCCAATGTAATGATTTTGTTTTCATAAAAAAGTGAAAATAAAAATAATTATTTTATTAAATGTGGTTTAGATCTACGAGCAATGAAACGCACCCTAAGAGAAGTTCAAACATGCATCAAAAACTGCTAGGTGTGACTTTCATAGATATCTTTACGCCTTAAAACACTTGCGATCAATGATATTTTAGTAAGAATGGTCTCTATTCTATGGATAAATTAAGGCATTTCAATCTCTGAACACATTCTGTCACTCTAAGAGCAGCAAAATAAACCAATAGGCTCGACAAGTTACTTGTTGCCCGACTTGATTAGAACTTTCTCATCATCGTTTAATCAACCTAATAAGCTTGAATACTTTTATAAATACTCAATTGATAAATGAATAAGTTTTAACACTTGGTGTTCGATTAGCTTATAAAGATGGACAAGAATATTTAAAGCTTGTGAAAAAACTCATTAAAAAGCTCGAGTAGGGCTCAATAATATGCTCTTTTGAGTCTCGATTACAAATTTGTTTAATATATGATTATATTAGAGTCGTGTTATTTTATATATTAGATTGCTTTTTGTTCATGAACACAAATTCATTGTTTATGCCCATCAAAATGCTTATTTATTTATTAGTTCATTCAATTAAATTCTCATTTGTAAGCTCAGTGGACTGCTCATTAATAGGCTTGATGAGGTTTGCTTAATTAACTAACAAACTGCTCGATAGTGTTGCTTGTTAATAGGCACCCGATAAGACTCATTTGATTAACTAACAAGCTGAGTTTAACCCAAGCTAAACAATTCATAATTTTATAGCCCTAGGACTCATTCTTCTCTGGCATATTGACTCTTTATTAATCATCGAAATGTTCAAAAGCACGATCATTTTTTACTTTGAACTTTTTAAAAATCGTGTCATTTTTGTCTGTTAGATTATTAACAGCTCATGATAAAATGTAGCAACTTTTACAAGTTCTCCATCAAATCCTATAGCTTGATGCCTATTGTGATAGAGGGAGTAAAAAAGAGAGAAATGATGGGATATGAGAAAGTATGAGAGAAATAGAGATGGCACAAAAGAGACCAAGTGGATTGTTTTAATAACCACTTGTGATTAAACATGCCAAGTAGTGATAATCTTAGAACCTCAATCATATTATCAGTTAGAGAAGTGTTTATGTTGTTGTTTGACAAAGTGATTTAGGCAATCATACATTGACAATGATTAAAGTAGTCAAGAGCATCACAAAAGACGTTAATCAAAAGTGATATTATCACAACCCGATTAGTCCTCTTATCTCATGTTTCGATATCAAGTGGCATGATAGATAGGAAGCCCTTATTATAGCCTATTTTCTTCTGCATGCAATCGCTTTCGATTCCTTGGTTTTTGAAGTGATATTCCCTATAATAGTTTTATTTGGATAGAAAGCAAGGGATTTACAAAAATATTTTTATCCAAAGAGAAAGTAATAGGGAAGGATTTGATAGAAGAGAGATCCTACTAGCTAGTTATTTTGAGCAAATGATAGGATGGTGATAATATGGTGCTGAAGCCATCCATGCATAAACAAAGTCACAAAATGCGGACTGCTCTACTGAAGCATAGGAATTAAGAGGAATAAGGTTCGCCGTCTCTAAATCATAATGACAGTGTATTAGCTTTAGGATGGGCATTCGCATTTATGCTTCTGCTTATTCTTTAATCTTGGAAGATTTTGCTTCTGCATATGCCAGCAAGGACTTGAAGTTGATGAGTGCAAATTCAGATGGATGAGATTTAGCTGTTTGATTATGTGGCATGAAGGAATGATCTAGCTTCCTTGAGTTGCAGCAGGTTACTTAGAGCTGCAATGATGAGACGAGCAACATTTCAAAAAAAAAAAGAGGTTGTAGCCAATATGACATACACAAGGTTTCATTGACAGGCATGACTTAAGAAAAATAGGTAGTAGTGAGCAGTTTTGTAATGGTAAGGCAAGATTGTATCTTATTGTCATTTACATTATTTTGAAAATATCTAATTTATAAAATTTAAAAATTATCAAGAACAATCATTGTTTGTATGATTTTTAATGGTATGTGACGGCTTACCTACTTTATTCAATTTTAAATTAGAAATTTTACTTATTTGCATATATAATTCAGACATAATTTTTATATTGGTGCTAATATTTGGTATATTACGGAGTGTTTAATTAGAACGTACGCAATCAATGATGTTGTTATTTTCATTTTTTATGGTTATTACAAATAGTAAGCTAATTGTTTATTTTCTCAAGATTTATGCTCTATATTTTCTCCTCCACACATTGTCGCAATTTAATCACTCAATTTTCTACTCCAAGGCTTTGGAAGTGAAGTGATGTTAGCCGTCTCTATTCTTATTTCACTCATTCTAGCATTACCTTTTTTAGATTTGTATTTACAAAGTATTTTTTTTTTATTAAGCCTTTATTTCGATCACCAAAGTAAAAGTTGTAGTTGTAGGCAATAACAGCGGTGGAGGTCTAGGCCACATCTTTAAAGGTAAATGTTAAATTTCTTCAATGATTGAGGTAAAACTTCTTCATTTTATATTAAAATATATAAAAGAAAGTAAATTTTTACTTTTTCATTCATAACATTTTATTGATACCCTAATAGAATATATTCAATACAAAGATTTCATAAATTCTACAAATTTTGATAAGTACAAGAAGCAAAATAATTTATTGCAATTGATAGCATCTTTTATTGGTTAAAACAACACGTACACATAAAAATGTAAAACATAAAAAGAAAGTTCAACTATGTTAACTTGTTAAGCATACAGTCATGCAGTCTGAAATTAAATTTTTAAGAGAATTCAAGAAATTACAGCCTGCATAGAAGAATAGATAAATAGGCACTATGAATATTAGTTGTGTGAGCTAAGTCTAACGCAAGTCAATAATGAAAAGCCATACATGGTTGACTTGGTTTGGGTGTGTGATATCATGCCACCTACAAAGCACAGCTCTAATTAAAGCCTATCAGTGTTTGCAACATCCTCTTATCCCCCAGAAGTTATACTAATTAGAATTAAAACATCAAAATTATATCCTTCGCAGGAGCTAACTCATCACCAACTTCCTCTTCTTAGATCACTGACAACTAAAATTTGACATTAAGCTTATTAAATAATTACTCCTAATGAAATATTCATCTATCCTTATGATTTTGAAATAAATTATGAGATTGTTTGGTTGCCAGCATCTCAAATTCAAGGGTATTGTAAATGTAGTGTAAATTAAATACAATGCATTTGGAATTTAGGAGATTATTTTGTTATTTGGGTTGAACTGATAAATATGAAAAATACATATTAAAAAAAAAACTAACCTAAGTGACAAATAAGTACGGAGATGGAGGCAGACGCAATGGCGGGGAACTATGCAAGTTTGAAGCTTCCCATAGTGGCAGGCAGACTATGCAAGGTGAGGACTTCGTAACATTGGCAACTACACCAAGAGCGACAACGGAGGTGAGATCGCGGTCTAAGTGAGATTTGCGTGAGGCAATGCAGGGTTTGGTTTCAACAAGGACAAGGTCTCTGTGCCAATGTATTTGGAATTTGTCCAAATCGGACAAATTCAAAGTAAATCAAACACCAACTAGGGAGCGAGTTTCAAATCTCTAGGTGAATTACTTTGGATTTATTTTACTCAATTAAATATTCAAAAACTTAAAATTCTTGGATTGAAATACAATACACTCAAAACCCCTCCAATCAAATAGCCCCTATGCGTATTCATAAGGCATATGGGATCCCAATTTGTAAGAAGACTCCAGTGATCGTGAAGCTATAATCCTCACACTATATCCCAGCAATATCACTTAGATCACAAATTTGCCTCAATGTACTTAAAAGATAAAAACCAATTCATGATTACTTTGTACTAGGAAAGCCATTACTGACTTGCACAATTGGTCTCGAGCTTTATAGATTTCAATTGCAGTTTTTCTAATGAAGATTGTATCAGGTACATATCCTGCTTCACCAAATTATTTCCAGCAATTCGCATTGTTGAGCTTTAAGGTCATAACATTCTCATAAGCATCACCAACCAACTTCTTATGCACCTTGCAAACAAACCAAAATATATGCTTTATGCACTATATTGTTCACAAATAATTACTTTTGCTTTGGCTTCTTTCCTCAAAACGTGTTACTCCACATTCAATATTGAAAATAGCTACATCTCATTTCTCCTTAGAAATCATTTACATCAACATCTCTTTTTTAGTGAATACTGTTTATGCATTCTTCTATATCATCATCCAACAATGTATCTACCAAAAAAGAAGGGGGCTGTCAACAAAAATTCGAGACCTAACTTACAAAGATGTACTTGATATTCCAAATCATCAACATGACGTTTCATACAAGCCACAGCAAGATGTATAGAAGCTGAGTTTACATATGGTTTGATTAGCATGATTTTGTATGTCAACACAGGAACTTGACTCTCCTAGACAAAAATAATCTAGCTCAAAAACAATCAAGACAAAATATTTCAGCCACAAAATTAGAGGAAGCAGATAACTGGAAGACCAGTAACAAAATAAGTTTGCGTGGGTACGTCATGTTGTGGTATAGGCCAACATATTAACAAAAAATAGCTACAGTTGATTGAACAATTAAACCATCTAGTCTTACACAGAGTAGGACTTGATAGGTTGTAAAAGGAACACATCAGCGATCCTGATTAGAATTAAAGTTTTCTGGGTGAAAAA